CGATGATGATTTACATAAGGGGGTTTTGAATAAAATGTCATGGTAGTTTTATATAAGGGTCTGTTCCCAGCTATTGATAATGATCCTAGATATTTGGTATTGGTATACTGCTTGTTATACTGTGTGTTTATTTCTTTTTATCTTTCATCTTTGTCTAAGATTAAGTATTTAGTGTTGATATGCTGTTTGTATAATAAGGATAAGAATATTTTATGAAGATGCATTTTATACCACAGATAATTAAGCAGTTTTATTATTTGCAATTAACTTACATCTACTACTTGTGTTTTTTAACATGGATATGGAATATTTTTAGTAAACAGTTGTGGTAAAAAAAACTTTCGGCACTCTTCACTTGGAAGAAGCACGCGTCCCACTTGTAAAAGGGTTGTTTACTTTGCGCAATGTTATTAAACGTTTGTTTATTTAGAGAGAAAAAAATTGTTGTTTTGGTGTGTTTATTCCATGTTATCTTTCACTTCAGTCTTAGAATAAGTATTTGATAATGTAGATGCGAATCGCTCATAAGTTATCGGTTGATTGCATTGCATTAAGAACAACAAAAACATTTCGTTAAAAATAATTTTCTCGTTTCAAAGGACTATCCATTTTTAGTTCCACCCATTTCACCAAGATTGTTATTCGATTTGTTACCACAGTTAAACGGGTATCTTTTATTGCACGATCATATACATATAGATCACCTCAGAGGTAAAAATGTTCCACCAATGCACCATTTCCGCGAGGGAATTGAATGATAGACCTGAAATTTTAGATAATATTTTTTCATTGGACTATTCCCGAAATAGTGTTTGATTACACTCGCATTTTCGTGAACATTGAAAGAGGTGGACAAGAACTCGTTGCTGGTCTCTGGTTTTGATTTTATTTTTATTTTTCAAAGGGTTGCACTGGTTCACCTTTGGTTCCGTGAAGAAAATTATTCCAAAGAATAGTTAACTTGATACGGCAGTTACATGATTTAATCAAATTTTGCAACGTTGCACTCATGAGAGAACGAGGCATTAAATTAATTATCAGTTTAAGAGATTACACTTATCAGGTTTCTCAAAGTAAATGATTTCATATGTGGTTTAATTACCGATGTTGTATTAAATTGTACGAGAGCAATCGTTTGCGTCGAAAGAGGGGCAAACGAAATACAGACTTGCCTCATAATTCAATTTTTTTTTTTTTTAAAGTGGTCACTCTCGCTCGGAGTAATGTCTGAAGAGATACCAAGGCGAATGTTAGAATATGTGAAAGCTCATTGCTTCATATCACAAGAACTGTTAATAAACATAAACTTAACGGTAGCTTCATCTTCGTTTTCATATCGTGCTTTAACAAGTTTTAATATTACTTTCACTACAGAATTCTTACCATCCGGAGTGTAATGAGTTTTTTTTAACAATTTTTCACCTGGATATTATTCCTGGAACTAACTTTCTACCTGGACCAACTCCACCAAGACCCATAACTCATTTTGCACGTTTTGTTCAGGAATGCACTTAATGGGCGATTTTCGATATATCAAAATTCTAACATGGCTCTGAGGCAAAACAGAAGAAATTAATTATTCATCTCTCAACTTCGATGTAATTTCTTTTCTTTTATTCCTTCTAGCCTCGGAGCCGTGATTGAATTTTAATGTATCGAAAATAGCCTATTCATCTTTTTCTCGTTTAAAGTGGTCAAACACTCTCGTAGGAATGACTTAGGACATACCAAAACGGTTGTTACAGTGTATACCATTGCATTGCATTGAAGAATTCAACATTCAATACCTAACCCTACGGTTACTTTTAAAAATATCCCTAACAGACTGTAAGTAAATCGGTTCACATGATGCTAGAGTACTTTTTCATCGCACTTTCACGCACCTATTCGTTCCACCCATTCGTTCCACCCATAATTGATGGAGGTTTTTTCTTCTTACAGCTTTAGGGTATACTTATCATTTCTACCTGATAACGAAGAACAAAGAACAATTCAATTTTTTGCGTTTGTCTCGCCGGTGCAGTTAATTGATTTTTCTTTTTCTCAAAATGGTCATACACATACCAAGAAAGTTATTGCGATGTCTAATAATACATTGTGATCCTTCAGCCGTAATTATTGATCTACACATAAGAATATACAATTCCTCATTCAACTATGACAATGTTAGGATCAGGGTTGGTAAAGCACTTTTCGATCATAATTTCATTTTTTGTTCCACGCATAATAAAAAGACTTTTTTGATATCTTTACGTTAATAATTAAATTTTGACCAGGCACAGATGAACGAAGAACCATACTTCTTTTGCACCTCTCACACGACTGTAGCTAATTCACTTTTTAGGTAGTTCGTGTACAATGGTTAGGAGTAGATGAAACATTAACTAGAACTTCGGAAAGTATGCTGTATTGGTATAACGACGTAAGATCCATGACTATTGATCTCGCAGGGACTTTTTGTACTCCTACGAATAGAAGAGAATCCCCCGATGAAGAACTGGAACTTTGCAAAGTGTGCGGTATTTCATTTAAAAGGAATGGTACAACAACATAAACTCGAAGGGACTCTTTATACACCTGAAAAAAGGAAAGAATCTTCCGATGACGAACGTCATCGATCATCCATTTTTATAAAGAATGTTTGTTAAGTTTTTTTTCCTATTTTTTTATACTGTTTGCAAGGATAAGAATAATTTGTGAAGATGCATTTTTTACCATAGATAATTATGCAGTTTTATTTCGTACCATTAATCTTAGATGTAATACTTATTTTAATGTGGATGGAATATATATCGTTGACAGTTATGATAAAAAAACTTTGGGCGCTCTTCACTTGGAGGAAGCACACGTCCCACTTGTAAAAGGATCGTTTACTTTTTGCAATGTTATTGAACGGTTGTTTATTCGGAGAAAAAAATTTTTGTCTTAATGTGTTTATTTCTCTTCCCTTTGCCTGACTCTCATCCCATGCGTGACACCAGGACTCCCGTGACGTCATACCAATGTTGTAGCTTGACATTTCAAGTTTAGGGGTCAGTAGCCACTCCTGTAATATTATTGGTTGAAACCAATAATTGGTTATTACCCATTCCATTGTATATTACTACTGTCACTATTTCGTTCAAGTGTATATACTCGATTGCAAAAACGCCGACCCTTAAAAGCGTAAGCACATTTAAATGATAACCACAATTAGTTGTGTGTGGTATATAGAAGCCATCCATGCTTTCCTGAAGGAAAAGAATTGTAAACAAAGATTTCAATTTAGTGCTTGTGTTTGAGCAGACAAAAATGGAAAAGGGTACAATACAGAGATATAAACACTCGCTTACAAAAACGTTGAAACCTAAGAAGCGTTTAAGATGAACGATGATACCCAATGGCTTTATGGGTCAGATGTGCGTGATAACCAACATTAGTTGCACGTGGTGATTAACGGAAGCCATTTAAACTCTCATGAAAGAAAAGGATCATCATACAAAAAGATTTTACACGAATAATGAGAAAAGTGAATCACTTATTATGCACCTTTATTATAAATCCAACGAAAGCCCTTGATAGAACAAAAAACGAAAAAAAAATCATACATATAGATTAGATATACTGAAAAACTGTTACTATCATACATGTTCCCACCTTTGCACATTAATGACAATTGTGAGATGGCAGAAGAAGTTTGGTTTACTAATTTACATGTATGAGGCAGACACACGGGTTCATGGGCATAATGAGCATATAAAAGGTTGAACAGACACATTAAACACTGCATGGACCTAAGCTTTATTTTATATTTTAGAAAACTCTCTCAAGAATTTCTTTCTCCCGAAATTCTGATTCTCATGGGTGAGGCATCTCTAAGCGATACTAAAAATCGTTTCCAATGGGAAAATTTTCCCGTTTCACTCAAGAGAACTGCATACTGATGTAACGAGATCCGGTTTCTTCACCACCTCAATTTACTTCCATTGGGGGAAAACCAACACTAAACTGCACTAGCTGGACCGCCTAACTATTCAACTAATAGCCATTATTAATAGAAAAAACGCGTTAATTGGGCAGTAGTGTAGCTGTTACTACTGCTAGCAGTTTTCTGTTCTTAATGTTTTAAAATGCTGGCAACATTGTAATGCTCTTTTGATGTATTTCGTGGATTTTTATTTTAAGGTTCCAAAGGAAATTATTTAACATGACTGAGAACAACCCAAGGTATCCCTTAAAATCTTACCACTTTCTCACTAACCCACGCTACTAAGTTTTCTCGCTAATCGCCTTTTGAGCTGTAAACACGATCTAAAAGGGCGCATGGAAAAATTTGACCACACATATGTAAATCATCAGTCCATCAGCACCTTATTTGCATACTCACCCATTCTAAAGAACTAAACCCCAGAAGGTATATGTAAAGAGCTGTTTTAAGCTTAAAGCACTTAAATGGCTTCTTTATCTGTGTGAAGGGCTTGTTTGTTGGTATAAAATTTTCCTTCCTCTTGGTGATCGTCAAAATGACCCTTGATTCTATGAAGCTCGAAGTCGCCGTCTTCGTTGTTGGCAACCCTTTTCTCGGGCGTCACTCGTTTTGAATTGCAGTTTCTGCAACGTTATAAGCCGACAGAATATAAATGTGATTGTTTACATGTTTCCTTTTTCCTAGACCTATACGAAATTCCAAGGCCTTACTTTGTCGGTATCGGTTGGAGTTACATTTTCGACTAGTAATTCATATATTATACAGGTTCAAAAGCATAGACATACGAAAGATAAATCGGAAAAGGGCCAATATGATTATAGTAAGACAGAAGATAATTTAACGTATACAAGTGACAGCAAGGTTGAGGTAAGTATTATCGTCAATTTGCTTCTCTGTTAGTGATCATCATTCAACAATAAGACAGTTTACAATCCTTAAAACATTTTTTCTCGCACGCGATTGTTCAAAAGGCACCATGTGGCCGAATATGCCCCAGCTAAAACTGGGTCAAAAGGTCTCGTTTTACACTGGTGTCAAAGAAGGTGCAAAAGTGGCAAAAGTGAACAAAACTCACCTGCGACATCCCAGAACACAAAGTATGATGATCAATATAGCCCCAGCTGTTGCTCCTCCAATAATGAAATACCGTTTTGATATTTCATGATCAATTTTTGGAGTCTCAGTGAAACTGCTTTCGGTAGAAGAGTCGAGGAATGCAATTGTTAGGCTAACTACTGTCATGTTCAGGGCTTTTTCCAACTTTTCGCGAGATGTCTTGATGACTGTCAACAAAATGTTTTTATCCAGGGCAGAAGCTGAATCAGTAGCAACTCCAGGAGGGAACTGGACGTAGATTGCAACTCGAATCTGAAAAAGATCCGTGGTTCTCTCTGGATAACCTGGAAGAAGGTGAACTTGATCTGATGTGAAAAGGACGTAGTCTAGTGCCCTCCTGAAATCAAAACCAATCAGTTCTTCCTTTAGCTTGAAACAGTCAGAGCACCCATTGAGCCCGGAGAAAGTCATCAAAAAAATTCATCTTATTTTATTCATAATAAAATATATATTTTTTGTCATCTTTCAATAAAACTGAAAGTGCAATTTATGTCCAATTCTGGGCCCAGTTGTTCGAAGGCCGACCAGTGTTAACCCAGTAAAAGTGTAAGCTGTGTTTCTTTATACCTTTCCCTTTTTTTCTTATTTTTAAAATCTCTTCTTTGGATAATTTTCTATATTCTTTTTAAATCATTAAAGCATCAAATTGTAGTCGAAAGGAATTATAGAGAATTTTCTCTTAAAGCTTTCAGACCTTTTGCCCTGGGTTATCTTAAAATAGCTTTGAAGAACCCAATTAAACCAGCGTTAACCAATTATTGGTCAATAGTAAATTTCATGTGTATTTTCTACTTGCGAAGTGTTCATGGTTTCTGGAGCATAAATACGTCTTTTACGGACAAAACGAAATGTACTGAGAAAATTTAGTTATGACTAGGCTTGGTAATGATGTAGTAACCTTTTTCGAAGTCTTGTGGTTATACAGTGTTTGCTTTCCCCACAGAAATTGGTCACAGAATCTGCAACTGCTCCTTTGAAGACTTGCTCCACAGGCAGGGTCCACTAAATAATTGGGAAAGAACAAGGTTTTTATGTGGTCTTTATAAAATACTCACTTTCGAAAAAAACACTTAAATTATATTCTGGGTGTTTTAATTATAATGGTTAATTCGATACGATGCCAACTTAGAGGAGAGAAAAGGTTTTATTCTGCCTTGTTCAAAATAGAAGACTTCTTTATTTCTAAAAACTAGTAATTTTTCAGTATTAACTTTCCTGAAGGCTATTTAACGTGTTTAACCCTTTCAAATTAAATCTATAGTCACAGCCAGACAGGCCTGGAAACGACTTTTCTTCTTTTGCCCTACTTGAAGTTAATTATTGTCATTTAAAACACCAGTTTAGATTCGTGCTTTTCATAAATTTTTCAAACCTCTTCCCCTCTAACCACAAGCAGTAAAATGTACGAGAACAAATGAAGTATCCTCATTGTCTTTCTATGATGTAAAGAATTAAATATGGACGCGAGAAGATACGAAATGTCTCATCTCACTGAAAAATTTTCGCCATTGACATCCTCTGTCTTTATGACTTTAATAATATATTATTCGCGTCACATTCGAGTGAAAGGCATTACCTGAGATAAGTTCATTCCTTTAAATGCGATTATAATCGCTTGACGTTTTTCAATCAAGGACGGGATTCTTGGAGTCGGTGCGGGCGCTGGAGGAGGTGGTTTTTCATCCTTATCAAGGCCTTGAGTAAAAATGAAAATAAGTAAGTGACATAGTCACCAGAGAAGACGAGTCCGCATTCGAAAGTTGAAAGGTGACTCTTGGAATGAAATGATCTGGGCTAGATATATATCCGTCGACTAATTAGAGGAAGTAAGTTTTAAATTTTCTCAACGAATAGTAATTTTAAATTACCAATGCTTCCAAAGAGGTCCTATCCACTTTAGTCCAACTTCTCTTGCGATGTTACTTACACAGCATTCACACCAAAGCTTAAACATTTTTTTAAGCCGCTTTGTTAATAATAATAATAAAATAATAAAAATATTTATATAGCGCATATACTTTTCAGAGCTAAGCGCTTTACAATGCTTCAAAAAGGACTAAAATCATATACGTATATATATAAATTACATTTGTTAAACACTGTTGAAAACTTTTGTCTTCATAGAAGCAACTTTAAACCGATGTTTGTCGACTTTAAATTAAGCACATTGAAAATGCAAGTTAGTTACAACTTGAAACCTATGGAAAATTCGGATTTTAAGTTCTCTGCTTCTGATGTCCAGTTTAACTAAAAATGGTTTGTTGGCGTAAATGGGATTTAAGGTTTTTTTATAAAGTATTAAGTATGTTTTGTAAGGGTGATGTGTATACATACGGTCCCACCTTTGCAAGTATTGTCAATCCAATAGAGTCCCTCTTCACAGACGCATTTGTAAGACCCTTGAGTATTTTCGCAACGCTGTAACGAATCCTGACATTTAAAGGTCCATTCCAAGCACTCGTCTATATCTAAGATGATAAACTAATGTCGGTCAATTGAAACCAAGTAGCCTTACATGTATGTAGGTATGTATGTATGTATGTAGGTAGGTAGGTAGGTAGGTACGTACGTACGTACGTACATAGGTAGATAGGTAGGTAGGCAGGTAGGTTGGTAGGTAGGTAGGTAGGTAGGTAGGTTGGTAGGCAGGTAGGTAGGTAGGTAGGTAGGTAGGTACGTATGTATGTATTTACGAATATTTATACAGGGTAGCCCAGTTTAGCAAATAGCTAGTTTAAATGGGGCCCTGTGAAACAATAGCACCCACCCATCCCACCTCAGGGAAAGACATCCATCACACAGTAATCTTGTGCATGGAAAATTAACGTCTCCTATCCCTAACCCTGCAGGAGACGGGGCCTACGGTTTATACGTCCTTATCCGCGAAGACTAAAATATCTATCCATTTCTTGATAGTATAGAAAGGTAGCAAATTCTCCTCAATTATTTTAAAACGAGTATACTCTAAGGTTTCTCTACGCACGCTTAGCATTTTTTTTGTATAGTTTTTGGAAGTTTTTTATTTGTTGACTGGTGTAAGCTGTTCAGTGTGTTAAGTGTTTTCCTTTTTCGTTTTTCTGGTCATCATTGCCACTTTAATTGTTGCTGTTATTGTTGTTGCTGTTGTTGTTGTTCTCAATCAGCTTATGGAGAATACTTGTCCATCCAAATAATGTAGTCGTTAGTTTTCCGTTCCTATCTTTTTCGTTATGGATAGAAGTAGTATCTTACTCGTTATCCGTGGCTCACACATTGAAACATTGATAATCGACAAATTCCGACGAACGCACCATCATATCTCAAATGGAAAAGCAGGTTAACTCTTATAAACACAGTATCTCTCTTAATCTGTCCGACATTACCAGATTATGTTCCAGTTTAGTTACACTTAGTAAGTTTTATAGAGTGAGAAAGTGATTTACTTACAAGAATTATTTTAATGTGTTAGCCTAGAAAATTTTGTACAGTACAATAAGATTTCACGATTTAGAGGTAAGTTGACTCACTTCAAAGAGCTCCTCTTGGATGGGATGAGAAATTGAAAAATTAAACTGGTAAATAAGTTTCTAAGTATCTTTTTGGCCAGAATTAATGTTATAGAGAAAGAGAGAGAGGGGGGAGGGGAGGGGAAGGAGAGGGGAGGGAGAGAGAGAGAGAGAGAGAGAGAGAGAGAGAGAGAGAGAGAGAGAGAGAGAGAGAGGAACAGTAACATTTTTCTCCGTGGTGATGCCCCAATTCCCCCTTTACACTACCTATGCAAGTAACATTATCAGCGTCTAGTCTAAAGCCATCCACACAAGAACATGTATAGCTTCCTTCTGTGTTGCTGCATTTATGGTTACATCTATCCTTGTTCGTTGCACATTCATCAATATCTGATAGGAAAGTGGAGAAAATGTAAGCTGTATTAAAATCACTTGCAACCTTCCAGTCTAACACAAGGCATTAAGACAAAACGATGCCAGTCAAAAACCTTTCATCAGAGAAAGAAAACATAGACTTTAAAAAACGTTTTTCATTGCACAGACAAGGTACTCAAGACACTCTCTTCCTTTTAAATGCTTTTGTAGATCATTTGGTTTCAGATAACTTCTCATTTCCCCTAGTAATACCAAACACAGCCTTCCGTCTTTTCAGGTACTACAAAATGAAAATTTAAAAGCTAAAATCCTTGCTCAAGATTGTGTGATCATGTTTGGCATGTACGCTGGTTAAAGTGATCTAGCCATAAATTTAATTTTAAGTAGAGCTGTTCCAGCCCTCATTACGGAATTGGCCCTGAAGAAAACAAGTTGTACTTTCTGAAAGTACATTTATACTTTACTTATCAGTTTCTGGCCACTCTTTTCAAAAATGCACAGCTTGCAACATGATTTTAAATTTAAGTTAAAAGGATAACGTTTTTGAATGAGAAACACAGTCCGCCGTTATCTTAAACTCGACTGACTATACATTATACGCACCATTGCTCTCTTTCTTTCTTTAAACGAAGTGTCGTGAAATTCAACTGAGGTCGTTCACTCTCTATTAGTATACTTAATGGGCTTCTATAGTTTTTCTGCATGTTTAAACAGTTACACCTACCTTTGCAAGTGTTCCCATCGCCTCCAAGAAGATAGCCTCGTCTACAAGCGCATTGTTGAACTTTGTTTAAACCAAGATAACAGATGTGCTGACAACTATGTTTATCATTCTGACAAGGAGAATCAGCTGAAATTAAATGGTTCATACTAATTATATATATATTTTTTTCATAAAATACATTTTGTGTGACAAAAAATAAAACATGCACAGAATCAAACAATTCGCAAAACATGAGAGAAAGATTATTTTTCGTCTTTTCACAAGCGCGGGACAAAGAAAAAAAATGCTAAGTGACAAAGAGGAATCAAAACCGCAGACCTTCGGAATCTGCGCTCCGATGCTTTCTACCACTGAGCCATAGAGACCCTCTGGTGAGCAAGGGTCACCACGAAGTTTATGTATGACACGCGTCCTGCATACTGCTAGGATCAACAGTTTCGATAGCTTTGCCACTGAGACACAGGGACTCTGTGTTGAGCAAGGGTCAACACGAAGTTCATGTTTCACACGCGTCCTACATACTGCTAGGATCAGCAGTTTCAATAGCTCTATCAATGAGACACAGGGACTCTGTGGTGAGCAAGAGTCACCACGAAGTTCACGTATGACAAGCGTAGGGCATACTGCTAAGAGCAGCAATTTCGATTGCTCTACCACTGAGACACAGGGATTCTGTGGTGGGCAAGAGTCACCACGAAGTTCATGTATGACACGCGTCCTGCATACTGCTAGGATCAGCAGTTTCAATAGCTCTACCACTGAGACACAGGGATTCTGTGGTGAGCAAGAGTCACCACGAAGTTCATGTATGACACGCGTCCTGCATACTGCTAGGATCAGCAGTTTCAATAGCTCTACCACTGAGACACAGGGATTCTGTGGTGAGCAAGAGTCACCACGAAGTTCATGTATGACAAGCGTCCTGCATACTGCTAGGATCAGCAATTTCGATAACGTCGTGTTTTATGAAATTCGCAATGGACCTTGCTCACCAGAGTCTTTGGGAATTTTTTCTTCGTCCCAAGCTCGAGACAGGACGCAAAACATATTTCTCTGTTTTGTTTTCCGAGTTCAAAGTTACCATCTTTCTTATTCTATTTTCACGCAATTATAAACTACGATCAGTAATCATATACCATGAGTATTTGAATGTCCAACACATGCTGTAATTCAACCCCAACTTTGAGTACAGCTAGTTTAAATTAACTTACGTAAACAGTTTTTGGGATTTGAAGGGTCCATTTTGAAGAAATTATCGCAGCTACAGTGGTATCCACCGTTAGTATTTTCGCACTTGTGCATACAGTCGCTGACAGGAATGCATTCATCGACGTCTGATTGGAAAAAAAAAAAAACGTGAATAATGAGATATATCTAAGCGGATGGTACATTTTACTTCAACCAAGCAGTAGTCCACTAAAATAACCACTATGCATTAGAGCTTACTCAGGGATGTAATAAGAAAAAACGTGGGGGTCTAGTGCTTTTTACCATCACATTTCTTCTGGTCAATGTTGAGCAAATATCCTTTTGTACAGTCGCATGTGAACGAGCCTGGTGTGTTAATACAGACTTGACTGCATCCTCCGTTCGAACCAAGTGAACATTCGTCAAAGTCTGAAAAAAAAGGAATAATTATAAGATAATATTCAGTTGTATTATCTGTGAGCTGCACGAGAATAAATTTCTTCAACATCAGAACCTTCGTCTCTACTATATATTTTCGGGTAATGTGATATTATTTCGCAAGTTGGTGGTTTGTTATCGCTGTCAGGATGCTCTGAATTTCTTACCCTTATTTTGAATTGCTGAGAGGCTTTAATGGTTTCACAATTTCGACTTCCTCATATTTAAGTAGCCTGGGGTGGTATTTACTAATTGGAATCGATTCTCGTGAGAAAAGGTCGAGCTGGAATTAGGTCGATGGTGCTGCCATGTATTGTAGCAACACTACACAAACACAGGGTCAAGGTTAGCTGAGTAGTAGACACAATCTTCACGATTTCCTCCTCAAAATTTATTTTCTCTCTTAAAGTTAATTTTTAAATTATTATTTTTCCCCTCGCAAATTTTTTATATTCTTTCAGGTACTTATGCCCTGCTTTTATCTTAAATTTAAGCAGAACTGACGTCTACTTTGAAATTGGACCATGGATATGTTTGCCTCTTCGCAAATACGTATGAATTGAGCTATGATAGCAATCCACTAAAGATGAAACACTCATACCTCGACATTTGGATCCATCTCCAGTGAATCCACTAGGACAAGGTCCACATTTGTAGCCAGATATATTTGCTGGAGGGGGAAGGTCGATGCATTTTACACCGGGGTAGCATGGGTTGAGATTTGCTTCACATGCGTCAAGATCACTTTCGCAGAACGTTCCTGTATACCCATTTAAACAACCACACTCAAGCACATTCATCTTGTTGCTTCCATACGTTGAGTTTTTGTTGCTGGCTGACTGAAGGCAAACGCCATCATTATGACAAGCACAGAGATTAATGATGGGCCTCAAGAATGCTTTTGCTCCCTGATCGTCTGTTACGACGAATTCTAATTCAATCTGCAAAAAAGGAAGCCTTAGTGGGTAAGACGTCCTTTTCTTCGCATAGGAGAGACAGAAACGCAGCCAGACACTATTCCACGAGCCATAGCCACCATGATTTGTAACCATGCAATACGATTAACAAGGGTAATACATATAGTTGAATGCTTTAGCATCGTATGGTAGAATTTTAAATAATGCTGCATTGTAAATAAAGTTAGTATTGCTAGAATGAAAATAAAATAAAGAAACAAAAAAAAACTGGTGATAGTAGTAAGTGGAAACCAATTCGGTTTATAATTAGTGATGACAATAGGACCATATAGAGTCCAGTTCAGTCTGTAATCATACGAGTGATTGACCAAAGCAGATGAACGCAAAGCGGGAGTCCCATTTGTCAATCATGAGTACAATTACAGACCGAATTGGACGACACGAGGTAACGTTACCAATTAATCATAACCATAACAATTTCCGATTTAGAGAAAGACTTGTTGGAGAATTATCTCCCGTTGAGATAATGTGCAAAGTAGAAAAATTCCTCCATTTTGGAAATTCTCTAGTTTTTTAGGATAATTAGTTGTTGCTATGGTTACTGTGATCAGTTCTGCGACAGGTGGATTTAGTGATCTCAGGTGTCTGATTACAGCCAACTGTCCGATTTCATTGTCCGATTACAAATCTACAGAATAATTTGTGAAATATAAAGCAGCTAATGCTCTGATCAGACTTGAGGGAATTGTAATGGTTATGATTATAAAGGTACCAATACTTGGAATGACTAATCACGGAATCATACGATTAAATAAGTGCCCACAAACATAAATTTTCATCTAAATGTATTTTCAGAGGAGAAAATTCGAAATTCAATAAAAGAATACCTGTTCGTTTGTTCCGTTCCACGAAACTGACACAGAGTTGGAAGTGTTCTGTAGAATAGCTGCACGGGGTAGAACGCCGAAAACAGAGAATACCAAGGTGTCGTTGTTTGGGTCTTCTGCAACCACAGTCACACTTATACTCTGATTCACGGTGACGTTAACCTGAGAGAGTCGTGTAACGAACAAGGGTGGGTAATTTTCTGTCAAAAAGAAAAGATGGCATTGGTTCTCTTACGAGATTGTTACATTAAAAGTAAAACTTCGTTAAACTTAATGCTCGGTCTAGTATCAAAACTGGCAGCTAGCAGTTCGTCGGAAAGCCCATTTCGCAAGGTCCTGCACTTGAAATCTTGAACAAGGGAAAAGAGAACTTGAATTCCGGCGACCTTTTGCGCACTCTGAATGAAGTAACTTACTTAGAGAAGATGACTCTTCTTCAAGTGTAGACGACAGTGCTTTTGTGCTTGCACCCATTGAAACATCCTTTGTAGAGGCGGAATCAAATAGGCAGTTGACATCTCCTTGGCAAGCTTCTTCTGCTTGTTTGCGTAAGGTGTCATTTGGGAAGGAAAGATCTTCCAGAAACATTGGGACAAAAGATGTATTTTCGAAAGTTTTCAGGCTCTCTCCTGGTTTGTATGTAAATAGTGTGGACTTGTTGTCTACCTGCCCTATTAAAGAGAAAAGGAAGAAAATTGTCTTTACGACCAATTTTTCATTTTTCTTTCCAATTTAACGATTTCAACAGAGGCCAGACGGATTACCTAACCTACCTTGAACTCCTCGACGGCAGTCAATTGCGACATAAAGAACATTACTGACTCCGTAATCAAATACTGAACTTGTTTGATCATTGCCGGTGCTAATTTGGAAACTTTGAATGCACACTTTCTTAGAACCGGATAACCACGGTAGTGATAGTCAGATTAGAAGTACGTTGGCTTTGATGAAAAAAACTTTAAAACTTGTCTTTTATAGTATAGTGCTTGCCTTTGCCTCACTGACTAAGCTTAAAGTGCGCTGATACTTGGTGCCAAAGCGCAAATTTTCATCAAAGTTTGAATCGCGAAGATACATAAAACTCAATCAAAGTGGTGTAAGTGAACTGTAAGGAAATAATTTTTCAAACAAAGAAGTAATACTAACGTCAACTATGATGGGCACTTTACAAATTACGATAACAGCATTATCAAAACAAATAAACCTTATAACTGTACAAGAAAACTTTACTCACAAAGGAGACCAAAATTGTAATGAATGTCCTTGCTCTTTGCGCTTGAGGGCAAAACGGTCCCATTGGGAGTCAAAAAGTCGTCTTCAGGATCATCATTCCATGTTCCTAGCAGGCCTTTTGTTTGGTTTTTGAAGCTCTTTGGTGCAGCAAGTACAATTGAAAGTGCTCCTGAAACAGCTTTCACTGTGACTGATATTCCCGATGAAAAAACCATTAAGAAGGAGTTGTTGTCAGGTTTGGCAACAGCAACAGAGCCATTGAGTGTAACAGATTCGTTTGAAAGGCTAGTGTAATTAAAGGACTCTCCACCGACTAGCACGCTTATTCCTGTTGACAGAATAAGTCGATAAGGTCTATGAGAAGCAAGCGCGCCAAGAGAACAGTTTATTTTCACTTACTTCGAAGAATTAGTACACGAGCGAAAGTGAAAAGTTGCGATAAAATTGACGAAACCTTCTGATGGCAGAGGATTTGACAATCCATACAAACCATTGCATTGTGTTTAGTTACTGACCTGTATCGTTCAATTCAACCTGAACAACACTAGAATTGCCTTCCTTGGCAGCTGCAGCAGAAAACACTGTCGCTGTTCCATCGCCTTTAGCCAGTTTTGTCCGAGCTTGTAATTGAAATAATCCATTACGAGCATCGGCCATTATGTATTCACCAAGACCATTAAACGTGTAGTTTTTACCATCTAGAGTGACAAAATGAGGGTCACCCCAAAGCCAACCTAAAAGTAGAGAAGTCATCTGAAATATTTTCTTGATTTCAATTATATCTTGATAAAAGCTCCTTGAAGACGAGCAGAATGAGCAGGGACAGTTTTAAGTAAAAGTTGTATGTGTGGCACTCAGTTTATCGATTAAAAGGAATTTAAAACAATAGAAGACTATCCCCAAACACCCATTATTTCGCTGGGAAAAAATGTTCTGATTTCTCCAAGACATTTTGTCATGTTTTAAACTAATTTATGTTCACAAAACCACACACTATATATATCGGCATAGCGTTTTCCCCCAGTAGAAGAAACCTTCAAAGCCATACCAATGGAGTTTGTTATCATAGATTGTCGATAATATCCTTACTCCATTCTGGAACCACATAATCTCCACAATCGTCGGATGGACGCCTCCTGTAATATAGGTCGCACAAGTCTGAGTTGACACAGCACTTTTGATAGCCTCGTACATCGCTTGAGTCGTATTTAGCCCTCAATTCCTTCGTCAACTTGTGGTATCGATGTGCAGAACCTCCTCCATGACTTCCCACAAGCAGAGCACCCCAGCTTTGCCAGTTAGTGGAATAACAACATTCCTGGCCCCAACCAGCTGATGAGGGGAACTGAGCGTAACCACACATTCTCGGCCAGTCTCTCCAATTGACTGTGAACCTTTCGTCCCACCTTGCTTGTCTCAATATACAAGGGCAAGGTTCGAGGTATTCAGTGTAGAATCGAGGATCTGGTTGCGCTTTGAACCAGTCAATGCACTCCTGCCTTGCGCTCAGTTTTCCGAGGGAATCTTCCAGTCTGAAGAACCACTTTCCAACCATGTCAGCGTTGCCTCTTATTCCGTCAATTGTTTCTATGTTGACGGTACCCGATCTAGAAGGTAGACAAATGGGAAAATTTCCCATAGATCAGATTTTCTTCCAGCCATTTAAAGATAAAGTCCTTAGCAGCACAACCTACCGTGGCATGTTATATTTCCTTTCTCCTTTGTCTCCAGCATTCCAACCAACCACAGGCAAACCGCGCGCTTTAGAATAATACCTGTAGTACATTCTGCAATAGACATACAGATAGATATTAGGTTCATCTGATGAAGAGAAACCTGAACACAACTCTTGCACAATTTCATAATTAGTTAAAGGCAGTCGTAGAGGCATTGAGCCATGATAAGACGGCTCATTGAGTGACATTTTATATTAACAGAAGCTTATAACCCTGAAGCGAGGTTGTATGTCCGAGAGCCGAGGTTTACTAGAGTATGAGACTAGAATTTTCTTCATGTGTGGATTGTTTACCTTTAATGATTACTGAATGCGTAATGACTGAAATTGTACCACGGTTCTAACTGGGTATACATTGCAGTTTTCGGAATGCAAACTCCACCATAGTTTAGAGAATCGACAAATTATATTTATAATAGGAAAGAAACCACAAAGTTATTATTTGAAACGCTTTGCACGCTCGGCTAGTTCAATTCATGGCCAAGTTTGATGTTATCTTCAACATTTGGAAACTATTATAGTATTCAAACAACGGGTAATAAACTCTGCAAGCGTGTCAGAGCAGAGCTAAACGTCAAAATTGCTGCAAACTAATGACATTTAACATATGAGAGCTCTTATAGTGAACTCTCAACAGTTGAAGTCAAAGACAGTTATTTCGAGCTCAGGAGGACTTATGAATCACATCAAAGTGCTAGTGCGCAAATAACGCAACTTATGAGTTATTCTCCCTTGGACACCATTTTTCAAGTTAGTCTGAACTAGGTAGACCTCTACACTAAACAAACCTCTGGATGGGAGCAGACCACTGCAGGCCGTTGTTTGGATAATTGTACATTGTGAAGGAGTACACTCCATCTGTGATCAAAACCAACTGAAATGTATTTCCCTATGGATTCAATGCGATGAGTGTTAACCAATAATTGGTATGGTAAGCTAAATTATTCACGCTTTATGAATGGTTCTTACTTATGATCTATTGGAGGACAGACGAGTATATGACGTCACAATTAACAACAGTTTGTTTCTTTATCATATAAAATAAGTAGATTTCATGCTACCTTGATAAGTATAAGAACAGTTGTGAAAAATTCATATTTTAAACGAGTTATCAGAAGGTTAATAGCCTCGAACACAGTATCAAAACTTCTGAGCAAAGATCTGGATTTTCCTTAGAAATCTCTCCACATCAGGAAATCACACTAAGTTGCTTTTCTGTAAAACTTCTTTGTTATTTTACATACTCTTGATTCTCCGTGAAACCAGTTTGCAAAAATTCTAGATAAGGGTATTTTTTTAAAACGTGAATGTACCGCTCTTGCTACAGTCATAGCAAAGCCATGTTAAATGTAGCGTATTGGGAACATGGTAAAGGTACTTTTACTAGTGTTAGTAATATCACTGAAGGATTAGTGAGTGTTGTGAAAGCAATTTAAGCAATTAAGATGATTGTACCAGCTTATTAGATACTTGATCGATGAATAAAGACAGAAAATTGAAAGTAATTGAAGAGTGTGTCTCTCTACCAAATGAATACACAACATTAATACCCGTGGAACGTTTTACCCTTTCGTACTATAAACTATATTTGTACCTGGTTTGCCATATTGACAGGATACTGATACGGACGTAAATTCTTCCACGTTACCACCAGCACCCATGATGCCCTGAAAGCGGTCGGCAAAGGGGTCGACAACAGCTTGTTGGTGTCAGAAGAGGCCCTCTTCAACATAGGAGTAGAACTTGGGTCGGAATCTGAATACACGTGATAGTAGACTTTAGAAAAGCCCTGAATCACAAAAGAATCGTCCGTATCCGTCAAAGACCAATAAGGCGCCAACATTGCCTTTTTCTTTAGCCACCAACGTTCCCCGAAATTGTATGGCCACCACGGAAGCCATTGTGAATCAAATTGCAGCAATCCGTTGCGACAGATCTTAAAGAGAGAATAGGTATGGGTCAGTCGGCACTTGAAGATCGTTTATCGGTTACTTTATTCTTTATGTTTATTTATGTAAATTTACAGGTTTAACTCTTTTCAACTCTCTCTTTTCATTTATTCCTTGATAATAGTGTCATAATGATGAGATCGCCAAAACGTCCGAACATTATAACGTTAGTTTTTACTTGCTTGTATACTTTAATACACACAATTAAGCTCAGAAAAGAATATGACTGTCGAAGAAATCGTGAAAAAGACCTGATAGATTAGATCAAGTATCATTTTGCACACGCAAATGTGCTTTGAACACTTTGAGTTGTTCACAAAATAATCGACGAGTCGAGAAAAACTCAGCTTGTTTTAACTTCATAGAAAAGGTTAACAGAAAAACTTCATATCTTCAAGAAAATGGCAACAGTGCTAGTGACATCACAATCCACAACCATGTTACAGTTTTCAATCAATCAATCAATACTTTATTTACCCACGTAGCGTCAAGGAGCTCGTAGAGCTCATTAAAAATTCATCTGTGCCCCTAAGATTAAGAATCCAAAAAGCCTAATACATACTGTCGAGACCCAATAGACTAGAAATTGCAGTAACTTAAAATTAACATTAAAATTTAAGTTTGTACAATATAATTCAGAGTCACTTGAATACAGGTATAATATGATGAAGTAGCTAAAATTTCAATGTTCGCAATAGTTTCTTAAAAAGGTTGATATCATTGGCCAGTTTCACACTTGTAGGTAATCCAATCCACAGCTGCGCATAGGGTTGTCCACATTATGCTCACAATTTTCACTATTATGGTAATTCTTTATGCTCAAAAAATCTTACTATTATGCTCAAAAAGTTCCACTATTATGCTCAGAATTTTTTCCCCGGATCACTCATTTTTTTACCTAAAATACGATCGCTTGATATGCTTATATGGAGGATTTTATAGACAACATATAGTGTAAGTATTCCCTTTATGTGATCATCTTTGGTCATACTGAAGCATGATGGAGGCTTCAATATAGTCCTCCATAGCACATGCTTGGTTGTCCCGAAAGGAATTTTCTAGCAAGGAGAAGACCCTCTCCGAGGCTGCAGATGACGGTTGGATAAGCAAGATTTTCTTGCATGCTTTTGCCCAATTTGGAATCTCTTGTTCGTGAATCTCCCACCAGGTTAGAACATTAATATGAGGATTGACATCAGTAGCCGCAGCAATGTAAGTTGGTAGTTCCTTTTGGAGGCCATCAATGCATGCATCATTGTTCAAGAAAGGAACTTTCCTTAATTGATCACTTAAAATTGCAGCAGTGGCCTGAATTTCTGCAATTTTGGTTGGGTTGAACAGGCGTGCAGCCTTGAATACTTCAACAGCTGGCTGTAACTGATCTCCATTATTCAAAAATGTCGATGTGAAGTAATCATATGCTGGTTGAATACAGGCCATTGCATAGCCCTCTGACTGTCGCTGAAGAGCAATGTTGCCATTAGCAATGTTTCTTATAACAGCACAGCAGTTTGGGAAGTGTAGATTTCTCATCTCTGCCTCCAACTTTCTTACTATCTGGTATGCTTGCAAGCATAGAGAGCCATCACCTTCAAGCTGATAGGTAGACTGAACAAATGGTTTCATGGCATCGACTGTAATTGCAAACTCGACTTTGAGTGAGGCCAGCTTCTGTTGGTCATTCAATATATCCTGCAGTTTACGTGCAGTCACTTCTGGTATCTGATCTCCTTTGACAAAGGCTATTGTATCACCAAAGAGGTCATGCACTTGCACCATCATCTCATACTTGGACCACCATCTGGTCTCTAAGTAGGAGTTAGGGAACTGTCCAGTTGTTTCTTTGAAAGCATTTCTTGAGCGGGCACTGTGTGCAAAAAGGCCGACCCATGACTTCATGAACTTCTAAAGGTTTGGTGTAGCCATCTTTTCACTAACATGATCAAGAGTATGCCTGAAACAGCCAATGTCCACCAGGTTTGGGTACAAGATCTTGCCCTACTGCTTCATTTTTGACAGATGCACGATCTCTTGCAGCAGCAAGGAGAGAGCTAGGTGGAATGGAAAAGTCTACAGACAGAGTACTTAATAGTTGGTGTGCTAACTCCTCCCCATTCATAGGTTTTGTAACTAAAAGAAGCCGAATCAATTGCTGGTGAACTTTCCATTCAGTAACAAATCGCAAAATAATATTCAGGGCCTTGGCAACATGAGTTGTCCCATCAAAAATGATACTCACATCCCTTCCTTCGATTTCTTCTTTTACTTTCTTCCTTTCATCTTTGGCAATAACATCTATAAAGTCTGAAAGATGTCTACTCGAAGTCAGAGAAAATGCTTCCTCTTCTAGTAACTCCCGAAAGCAGTCAATCTTATGTAATGGAACTCCTGCTTTCATAAATGATCTTACAACCTTAACTGTGTAAACTCTGAGTGCAACAGATAAGCTCTCACCCTTCGGAAGAAACTGATTATCATACTCCTTTAAACTCTTTGCAATGTCTCTCTCCCTTGCTTCCTTCTTTTCAAGGCGTTCTTTTCCAGAAGCATGCTTTGACGATTTCACATGATTCTCTATTAATGTCTTTTTGAGACCAATTTGTTCGCAACAAGCATTGCAAAACGCTTGACCATTTGACTTCGAAACGGTAAAGTTTTCACCTGGAAACTCTGTAACTCTGGCAGACGCTGTCACATTTTTTGGGTTAGACTTTGATTTAGGTGGATGAAAGCGTTTGCCATGTTTCGGGAGATTGCATTGCACCTTCCTTTTCCTCGCTAAATCTGACGCTGTCGGGGAATTAAGTCTGTTTAGTATTGTGGGTGTAGCTGATGCCTCTCTCGACTCTCGTCCACTAGCACAACTTCATCTGCTGATAGTCCGGATGGTTCACCCAAATAGCCACTGGAAGTTGAAGAACTAGTGTAAGCGGTGGCGTTGCCGTCTTCCGCCATTTAGAAATTGGAATATAAATGAGTCCCAGACTCCAAGTCGCCCCACGTGGCCACGTCCGTTTCCTGTGGTGAAGGGCAGTCTAGGCCCTGGTCTATTGTCACGTATATTTCTCCACAGGAAATCAGGAATCCCAATTTCGAGATTGTACCTAACTCCGATGTATTTATTTATTTTCGATATTTTGACATATTTCTGGGAATTGTTCTTACTATTATGCTGGCATAATACTCGATGCTGATTCCTCACTATTATGCTCAAAATTATGCCAGAATAATGTGGACAACCCTAGCTGCTCACACGTATAAGTGAAAGATTTTTTCATAAAATTTAAATTAGATTTAGGTGCTCACAAATTAATACCGGTTCCTCTCAGATTGTACATTGTTTCCCTAAAACTGAGAAAAATCTCTGATATACTTGGGACCGTCGTTATGAAAACATTTATACAACAGAACAAGGGATTGTCGTGTCCTTCTCTCCTTCCTTCTCGTTGTCAAACGATTTTAGACTACATTAAATTAAATGGAAGAGGATATATACGTACATAAACTTTATAGTGACGCTTGCCAAAGAATTGCATTCCATCGTCCGGAATATCGATCTTGAAACATTGCCACGAGTACTCATACGTGTTTGGGATTTCCGAATCACCGGCGGAAGGACCGTAGGGGTACATGAGTTGCATCGGTACTATTATGAAGAAATTTAAGTAAAGGGTTTTAAAGAACACCATTTTTTCAATAACAATTGTCGCAAACTATCTACCGTTTGAAGAGCCACCAGTTTTCTTTCACACAAATAAAATACTACAAAATAAATGCTACTATGTGATTGCTATTACTACTTGCTAGTTATTCAACAATTAGATTATGACCTGGAGACTTCTATTGTCGGGTGGTTGATGAGGGCGTAACACACACAGAAATCGAAAGCAAATAAATTAATTGTTTGAATATAGATCTACTACCAGCCTAAAACTTAACCGCAACATAGGGTAATGTCCTTTTTTTTTTTTTTCCTTTTTTACAAATGCACACAGTTAGGCCACTCACTTCCCTTGATTTTTATCAAGGGATAGGCAACAGGTGGCCTAGCCAATCGGATTGCTGTGTTTGTGATAGAACGCAATTAGATTTGTGCTTGTCCGTGATAGATGTTGATTGAAGCGAGTAGTCTAGCAGAGTCCAGTTGTAGACAAAATAATTGAATAAACAAAAAGATAAACCTGTCTTTTTAAATTTTGAGAGGCTCTTAGATTTCAATTCGACTATTTTCCCACGATTTTCATGTGCTACACGATAGAAATATTGAGATTAACGTCACCCTTCAAGCATGGAGCCATTAAATACCTTTTTACTTATTTTTAGCCAGGATGTTTGGGGGTATTTTTCCTGATGGGCATGGTCTGTATCGAAAGCTTTAGTCATGGCGAACGAGCTCTTGACGGTCGTGTAAGCTGTGTTTTGCATTTTGAAAACCGCACAATTTTTTCCGTCAGCGTATTCCAATTTTTTCCACTCGTCCATAAAAATTCACGAAAATAGTTTTAAAACAATACAACAAATGTAAATGCTCCGTCGAAAACGCCGTTTACGTTTGAAAGGATGACTAAAACGGATAAAAACAAATTCACCGTTTTCAAACATGGGCGTTGACGGGGCTTCGAACGCAGTATTTGAACTTTTTCGATGCTCTTTGTTAATTCATTATCGTTTCATCTACGTAAAGATCCTTTGAGGGCCAATTGTCATCGCATCATTTCAATGGTAAAAGAAACATTCGTCAACGTTATTGCAATAAATAATACTTTCTTGACTGTGAACTAAACCAATTCTAATTGCATTTTTACCTTCTGCTGTAGGACTCGGTGTATTTGTTGGCTCCCCAGTAGTTTGCACTGAGTCAAGAGAGAGAAAGGAAGTATAATAATAAAAATGAAAAAGATAAATTGAAGAATTCAACTTTTAAATAGTGTTATATTTCACGTCCTAATAGTTTCCCAAGTTTGACATTGCTCCCTCATTCCAAGAAGTTGAGTTTATAAGAAAATAAATCTCATATTTTAATTGCAGTCTCAGCGATATACATATTTATCACACCGCTGGCAGTGCCCATGGGCAATATGAAGCGAATCTTGCGTTCTGATGGGTTAACCGAGCGAGCAAGATGGGCCCATCTTGCCCGCTTAGGATTACCCGCTGCGATCCCGCGCAAGAAAAGAAAATTGCTTGGAGCAGACTTTCAAAGTTCGTAGTTTTTGAACATTTAAAGCGATGGAGTCGCAAAAAGCGGCAGAAGACATTCAAAGCAAAGATAACTCTCTTTGGCAAAGAAGGCTCTCGTTGGTTTTGTTTGCCACAAACACATTGGGCTGGCTTTCTTTCCCGCCTCTTGACAAAATCAAGTCTTCCTTGATTCTTGATAAAGCGAAATCTTTGTGCTTGATAATATATCCCTTACTGACCCAGCTTGTAAGCTCAAGAAGGATGGACATTGGTCTCGTCCCTTTTTTTCATCTTTATGGAACTTGACCTCGTCTCGGTCCATAAAAGCGCAAAGAAAAAACTGGACAAATATCCAAAAATCTTGACTTGACGCGTGGTTTTACATATACATATAAATGTTTGTGGAGGAAAGAAACAAATAAACTACGCTTACATCCCGACAAGCCTGTTTCGTGGTTGTCCACTCATCAGGCGATTCGATGAGTGGTTGCCATTGATTGTACAACATTGAAAGGGGGAAGGGAGGATATTTTTGCGATAGCGCTCCATTTAAAAAATTTAATTTTTTTTCATAATTCGTTGAAAGTGGCGACATATGTTTGACGTAACAATTAATGTTTCCACGAATAGCAATTGAACCGATTGGAGTCACCTAGATTAAGATCTCCTGAACTGTTAACACTCTTTGGAAACTTACCTACGCCAGTTTCTAGGGTGAACGTTCGACTAATGTAAGTGACGTTTGACTTGGCTGAGAGTAGCACTCTGACAGTATACTCTTTTCTTGGCTGAATGTTATTGATCGATACTTGAGTACCATTTGTCCGTATGACATTCCAATACGTCGATGACTGAGACAACTTGTACAATACAATGTAACCCTTCAATTCACCAACATTTTGCGTCTTTTTCCACTCTAATACGGCTGATGCTGAATTCGTGTTCTCCTCTTTTATCGCTATATCTGGAGTGTGAATGAAAAATCATCAACTCATGCCCAGCCCACTGACCAATGTGCTTCAAGGCTATGGCTGCCATCAAGAAAACTAAACAATAAAGTTAGGTATCATGCAGTTGGATACCGTTTGAAAAAGGAAAAGGAAGGAGAATTCTATGGTATGTACAACATGATTTCAAACTGAGATAGAGGCTACGAATTAACTGCCACTTTCAATCCCCCTAGCCATGTGAGAGCACAGAACTTGCTATGCTGTTGAAGACTCTGAAACACTTTCGAAATATACCTTTTGTTTCAGTGTTTCGGAACGCATGACAATAATTATTTTCATCCATAAAGTAATGTGGAAATTAGATATGAATAAATAATGTAAAATTGGCTCTTAAAATGACGTTTGCGTTAAAAAAAGTTCCCTTGGTTTGCAGAATAATATGTCTATCTCAGGATTTTGAAAGCGATTGCGCCTCTTATCCTTACCAAGATCTATTTCATGTTTCACCAAAAGATATCGAGCGTAGAAGCCCTTTTCCTCTATTCCATTGTCTGAATACAGACGCACTGTAAAGGAACTTTCAGTGAAGGTGACAGCAAATGGAGGCTGCTTTCCACAAAATTTCCATTTTATACTCTGAGATTTGTCGCTCACTTGAATATAATCCGAGCTGCAAGTATTACCAACAAGAACAGAGAAGATTACAACCAAACGGGGCAATTAAAGTAAACTAGATGGACATTTATTCATGACTGTCCTTAAAACTCGAGATTTAGAAGTTTAGCCGCAATTTTGTTCATTGTTTTTAAATTTTGGCTTTTTCTTTAAAATAAAATCTTAACAACTTCAAAGCGGTCTTCGTGCTTACAAACTGGATGACTTACTTCACAAAAAATTTTTTTTTATGAAGGGTACTCTTCATTGGACATGGCCTACCACTTACCAACCTTGGGCACCTTAGGCAGAGGATGTTGTTAGCCTCTCGATTTTTTAGGGAAGAGGTGGCTTTTTCATCCAACGAAATTTAGCTTCTTTTTTTATTTCCCCTACGTTCGTGTTAACCTTGGATTATTACAGCTTTAAGAGCGACTTTCTGTAAACACCACGGATAGGCGTGCAAGATGGAAAAATCGAAATCTCCCAAACTTTGTCACATTAAAGCCCTAGTTTAGAAAATGCAAGATTCAGTTTCTTGCGATTGATATTTTCCAAAAAAAAAATAATTATTTTTAATTTTCACTTCCGAGAGGCCCTTAAACCACCCAAAAATGTGCTCCGCATCCTCGTGTGCTAAAAAGAAACAGAATCAAATACCATGACTATTGCGATATAAGATGATTTTATAACCCTTTCTTTGTATGAAAACGTTGTTGTAATTTCAAAAGATTCCAATCTGAATTTTAATTTTTTTCAAAATTACCCTAATATTAAAACAGTTCATCGCGACCATCAATTTTGCCATTTTTGAACGGCAAAAAACCCCTCCTGATGCATGGCTTTCGTTGTGCAAATGCTGTTCCAGAGAAAGAGCAATCCTTATTCTTTCAATTTATGAAATAAAATTTTGGGGCAATTCAAAGGGCAAGTTTTGAGAACTGAAAACATCAACGGTACTTGCGTGAAATTTACAACTTTTAAACTTGCGGTTGCAATGACGAATACAAACAGTACAAGAGTGAACTTGAACAGCAGTTTAAATACTTCGAGAATTCGATCCTTTTCCACTAGTTCAAAAACTAAACAAATGATTATGACTTCGTAGTGGCAATTGTCTGAAAGGAAAAGCACTTTTATCGCGCGAAATTTAGCCGTAAACCTCTTGACAACACTTCCCGTACCTGCGCATTTGTTTACTGTGAAGCCTGACTTGTACCAGTTATCTAAGTATGAAAAGTATTCATCAAAATGTTCGCATTTCGTCTGAAAAAAATCGTACAAGCAATGATGGAAGAATAGGACAAACATTTACTTACCTCAAATACATATATTGTTGAAAAAGGACCAAAATCCCTCAGCTAAACTAGAATATGTGACATCCTCTTTGACTACACCAAGGTAGGAGTGTGGGGGTGGGGGGTTTGGACTTGGGCTTGGGCTTGGGTCCAAAGCAGACAAAAACATTCCCTAGTTAATCCCGTAATCGCTGAAAAAAAAAGCTGTGTAAGGTTTTCAAAAAAAGAAAACAAACAAAATCAATCTTGAGACAGGAGCCAATCTCCTGTTGGGAATTAAAATAGTGACGCTGATTCATCTTAACGCAACCCTCGTGCGAACAAGAAAACATAGCGCTGAGGTCTTGGTCCTTTTCCTTCTTATGGGTTTTGGCTTATCGATCGTCTAAGATACTTCTGTGAAGTCCCCTGAGGAAAACTAGCACTCAAAGCTGAGCGGATGTGAATAATCTGGAGCTAAAAGACCAAATGAAAATGTAACAAAATGATACAAGTTTCCGCTCCGCAAGTGGATAGTGTTTTTTTTTGGTTGTTGTTTTTGTTGTTTAGGGTTAATTTTCAAGAAGAATAAGTAATAGGTGGTAAAATAGACTGTAGAGCATAAGTATAACTTCAATAAGAGAGAAAGAGTTTCTTTTCTTGTCCACTGTTTTTCTTTTCTTTTAAAAAAAATTCATGCCGTGGACACAGCGTGACCGTGTACTCAACATTTTAAAGCGTCACTCTTCTTTTGAAAATCACTTATTATATGGGCAATGTGAGTTTCTAACGGTCAGAGAAAGTCATATGGACAAGGTCAAAGTATTATACCATGATAAACTACTTTGTGAGGCGAAAAACCAGCCATCCGTGAAGGCTGTGTCAAGTCGATGCCCGGTAGAAAAGCAACGAGGTTTTTTGATTCCCAGCGACAGTACTTAGACGCGAAATTTAAAGTAGGGCAAGCAACAGGAGTGAAACTTTATCCAGTGGATGTTGCACGTGACATGCGTTACGCGCGAAACCAGGGAGGGGAAAAACTGTTCACAGTAACTGAATTTTTGACCGAACAGGAAATTCAGTCATACTTTTAAAGACGAGCCTCTGAACTCCTGCATTCTCATTCGGACGATCCAGGATCTGATCAAGACGAAGATATTATGGCCACTGAAGAGGAAATCGCGTACGAAAATGTTCGCGCAGTTGTGTTAGAGGAGGTGGGCCTAAGGCACCCAATTGTTTTCGAAACTTTCAACTTATGTGACAGGCACAAGGCAGGTAAACTGCGACAGCTAAGTGTTTCCATGCTGCATTCCATTTGCAAACATTTTGACATTGAGGTGATGAACATCAAAGGACGACGCAAAGCTCCTTACTTGTCCGTACTGAAGAACGTCTGGTAGCATGTAGTTGTAGTAACAGTTAGGGTCTATACCAAACAATTAAATGAACATACACTTCTTTTATAAATGGCTAACGGATTGATATTTTTTTGTTTGAATTCAAATTAGCCTCACTAGCCTCGCTTGAGATAATGCATTCTTTTGAATTTTGAACTGGAGAACGAGGCAGAAAGGCTAATTTAAATTTAAACAAAAGAATATCAATCCGGCAGCCATTTATGAAAGTGGTCAATTCCAACAGCAACATTCTTTGATTTTATGTTTCGAAGCAAAAAACTTATAATTGGCATGGAAATACGGCTTAATGCGGGAAATCACGCATTCGACTTTTATCAACTTTGTACGTTCTCACTAAAGTATAGAATATTACGCCTGATGCCAAAATTGTACCTGCCAGGATCATATGCCGGCAAAATCTTTTAGATCCTAGGCTGTCTGGTTTTTAGCTATAAATATTTTTTATTTCATCACGGAGGTTTAAAGTTTTCTTCCCGGGTAATAAGCACCTGATGGGAGGGAGGTTTGGGATTTGGTGAGATGGAAGGATTTTCATTTTATTTATTTATTTATTTTTTAATTTCCAGGAGATCGGCACCTGTCCCAAGATTGTTTGTTTCTTTTTTCTTTTTTCGAAAAGCCTACACAGCTTATTATGGGATTTACCTGGGAATGTTTTTGTCTGCTTTGGACCCAAGTCCAAGCACAAGCCTGAGACCAAAATCCCTCAGCTAAACTAGATTACGTGACATCCTCTTTGATTACAGACCCAGATAAGGGGGTGGGGGTGGGGGTGGGGACTTGGGCTTTCTCTGACCGGCAGAAACTCACATTGCCCACACGATAAGTGATTTTCCAAAGAATAGTGACGCTTTAAAAATGTTGAGTAAACGGTTCTATGCTGCCGTGACGCTGTGTCCACGGCATGAAWTTTTTTTAAAAGAAAAGAAAAACAGTGGACAAGAAAAGAAACTCTTTTTCTCTTATTGAAGTTATACTCATGCTCTACAGTCTAGTTTACCACCTATTACTTATACCTCGTGGGAATTAACCTTAAACAACAAAAACAACAACCAAAAAAAAAAAAAACACTATCCATTTGCGGAGCCGAAACTTCTGTCATTTTATTACATTTTCATTTGGTCTTTTAGTTCCAGATTATTCACAGCCGCTCAGCCTTGAGTGCCAGTTTTCCTCAGGGGACTTCACAGAAGTATCTCAGACGGTCGATAAGCCAAAACTAGTGGAAAAGGATCGAATTCTGGAATTAAATAAACTGCTGTCCAAGTTCACAGTTGTACTGCTTCTATTCGTCATTGCAATCGCAAGTTCAAAAGTTGTAAATTTCACGTTGATGTCTCAGAACTTGCCCTTTGAATTGCCCCAAAATTTTATTTCATAAATTGAAAGAATAAAGATTGCTCTTTCTCTGGAAAAGCATTTGCACAACGAAAGCCATGTACCAGGAAGGATTTTTTGCAATTGAAAAATGACAAAATTGATAGTCGCGATGAAGCTGTTTTAGAGGGTAATGTTGAAAAAAAATTGAAAATTCAGATTGGAATCTTTTGAAATTATAACAACATCTTCATACAAAGGAAGGGTCATTAAATCATCTTATATCGCAACGGTCATGGTATTTGATTCCGTTTCTTTTCACCACGTGAGGATGCGAAGCACATTTTTCGGTGGTTTTAGGGCCTCTGGGGGGTGAAAATTCCAAAAAATTATTTTTTTGGAAGATATCAATCACAAGAAACTGAATCTTGCATTTCCTGAACTAGTTTCATAAGGGCTTTAATGTGTCGGACAAAGTTTGGAAGATTTCGATTTTTCCATCTTAAACAACAGAACCTTTAACAACAGAAAGTCGCTCTTAAGATTCCTTTGTTTCAAATTGGTAAATCCTTCTTTTTTACTTTTGATGTAACGTTTAGACTATGTAAGCAACTCAGATGATTTTTTCATTCAGTTATTTCTTTCACCTATTTCACGGAGTTTCATGCTCGTTTCGATATATTAAGCAAGTAACCGGCAATAATCTTGTCTTTTCATTTGTAGATCGAGGTGCCCGATCAAAGGAGAAACGACGAATTTCTTTTTTTCTTTTCAATAAAATCTACCTCCACATGAAATTTGTGTGTGTGCTATACAATGGCAGTCTTACAAGTGATTGCCCGTAGAATACGCCCATTATCTGTCACTAAGTATAAAAATTCATTTGCTGTTATGCTGCACAATCTACTACAAGAATTCTTCAGTTTCCATAGAAAATTAGAGATTTTTTAAAATTTTATTTACGTTGTAAAGAAAGGCAAATTCATTTCCTTTTATGACACCTTTGTAACAGCTAACCAAAACTAACGTGCTTTTTCCTTAAGCTTAACGTAATCTTGCCGAATGCCGCACAATGCAAAGGACCGCTAAGCTTTATTATTGATTTTGAAAAATTATTACCAATACTTTTGCGGCAAAACTCGCAGCGGTGCCTCATTGAACAAGCTTAGCTTAAACAATGGTAAAACGCTGTCGCGATTGCTACTCAGAGCCATTCTATTATCGCACTTTCATTGCTCTTCCTTGAAAAAAAATCTGCTGCAGTAAGGTGTCTTCTACAATGCAAGCTTTCAAATTAATGATTACCTGCATGGAGTACCAAAACCTTCTGTATGCAAATGATCGAAGAACAGTATGATCTTCGTTTCCTTCAATTCCATTCCTTGACCTATCACCCAAGTGCAGTTGGCGTTACTTGGATAATTACTGGGGAAGTTAGGACTGGCGAAGTCTGTAACATCGCTGGGTACAATAAACAGGCAACCTAGGCAACAACGGAATATAAAGTTAAACGAAAGTGATTGGAATTTCTTTAGTGTTGGACTCCATGAAATGGGTGGGGAAGGCACAATAAATAGAGACGTTAACGAATTATTCGAGTGAAGAGGAGAGCCTTATTTAAGCAAACAGTGTTAGCAAATGGTTTACCATTTTAACCTCCTCACAAGTGCTGAAACGAATCAGAGTTTTCATATCCCAATTGTTTTTTCACATACCCGTTTTGGGGAAATGTGGTTGACTTTGAAACCCAACACCAGCTCTTGTAAACCCAGCGAGGTAGATTCTGTACAGTGTGAAAACTTTCAGGCCTTTTAGTAGAACGGACGAAACTAGAGGCCCAACAGACATATTGTGATAGCTCTCTTGTGTCCAAGCCTCCTTATACTGAACCAGGTAACCTTGCAGTTCTCCTCGGATGTCAGGTTCATTTATGGGAGACCATGTAAGCCGTATAGTTGTAGAATTTGTCGCGTATGCCGTGATGTTACTTGGTGGCTTTGAAGGAACTACAAATTTAACAAACGATCATCATAAAAAGCTTCATTGAAATAGTACGACCCCCTAGACTTTTACCAACGATCAGCTTAAGCGTAACGTCTTTGGCAATGGTCGAGTTATAGTGCAAACATCGACTGCTACGTGTTAACCCACGTTCTTTGACTGTTAAAATATTGTTATTCCTCACCGTCTTCCTTTGTCCTGAGTACCACAACACCGCTGCTTCCCATTGAAACGGATTCATTACTTTGACTTTTGGATAAGGCAATCATTTGAACCTTGTATTCTGTATAAGGCAAGAGCCTCTGCACCAAAGTTCTGAAGGACGAAGAATTCGCTGCAGCTAGACGTAAGGTACCTTTGATTTCAGTTGCGGTGCAAGCTGCAATGAAGCCGATAATATCCTTCATCGAAAGGGCAAGAGTGTTATCCGGCCATGTCACCAACACTGTTGTAGAGGAGGTACTCTCAGCCGTTATATTCCAGCCTTGTATACGAGGGGCTACATATATATCATAAAACAAAATTGCAACCATAAAGATTGAGTTTAGATATAATAAAGAATAGTTATCATAGACCTTACACGAAGGTCTTGCATTAATGTTTTGGTTGAAATTTACACTCACCTTCGGTTAATGACTTATTAAGTACGTGATATTGGGCCCTGAAACCAGTTGCCAAAGATGTCCAGCGTCGCGAGTGATAACGCAACTGCAAGGAAGGACCCTCCCAAACAATTGTTAATCCGTCCCTTCTGCCACAAATCCTCTCGACGTCCAGTCCTTTATTGATCTCCATGTGAAAACGACTGTAAAAAAAGATCTCTTACATTCCATAACCCATACATCCGTACGCTTTAAAAATGCTCGTAAAAAGCAATTGCAACAAGCAACTCATCTTATCCATAACAATTATTTCAAGCGATTTACAAGTTTTGAAGCTGGTCAGATAAACCTTTTTAGGAGCATATTGAGTTTCTTGAGAAAATACCATTATCCAGTTTTAGAAAATATCGTCTGAGCTTTATCTTTTTGAAGACCTGAATGAGGTGAAAGATGGCTTTTGGAATAAACACATACCTAATGCACGTTTTTAAGCATTGTGTAAACTATCCAACCGCCTTAGTTTTTTTGAGGAAGGGACCCTCTTGTAGTTAAATAGGCTCACACAAGAGTAAAAGATATCTGCTTTCTTGGCCTATGTAACTCCTTACCTGCAGTCCCATGTAAACGGTAAATCCAAGCGTTGAAATGTGAGAAAGAACACTGAGTTATTGTCAGGAGCGGTGTAGTTCCAAATACATTCATCCCGATCGATGTAATGAGGAAACCCGGCACTTGAAATAACTCCAAAGTGACCGGAAAGGAGTTCACCACACACTTAAAATATACATAAATAAATCAAGAAGATCGTTATGGTTTAAATCCCAGTAACCTTTATCTGCAATATTCAAATGCGATGCATCTTTCCATGTCTAAGTAAAGTACGGATAACAATTTTGTGAATAAAATACAACGAATAAGTTTAAGCATAAATAGAGGGAGAAATATAGGGGAAAGGTCTCACTCAAAAGCCAAAACAAATTGTAATTCAACTAAGCATATGAGTCTGAGAAAATTTGCAAAACATTACATACTACTACTACTACTACTACTACTACTACTACTACTACTACTACTACTACTTCTACTACTAATAATAATTATAATAATTATACTAATAACAAGTTTACTCACAAAAAATACTCATCAAATAAAATAATCTAAGCCAGAAATCAAATATATGCAAAAAGCTACGCTTAAACATCGTATAACACGTACATGATAGTAACAATAACAATAATAATGATAATAATAAATATGATAATAATAATAATGATAATAATAATAATAATAATAATAATAATAATAATAATGGTGATGATGATGATGATGATAACAGGTACGTATATACCACATGGGTAAATAGTGCCTCCGCGCGTGCTGGTGGCTTGTTTGGAAGTATTTGGTAAGATTTATTCACCTCCACGCAGCGCGTGAATTGTCTAATTTCAGACCATTGTTTGGCAGAAATAGACAAACCTTTTTGTTATCTGCATGTGGGGTATATACTAAGAACAGTTGTTCCCTCAGTGACGGTGAAAGCGAGGTATATCAGCTACTCCTAGTCACCTTCACTTTAGCAAACAAGTTAATTATAGTAAGAACACTACTGCTATAACTGTAATAATAATAACAGTAACACAAGTAATAAACCGAGGAGATAAAAACATATCGGCGAGACTTGTCTTTGGTTTCGAGACTGTACGAACTAATACTAGCAAAAAGGACATGAATTCTATATGTAAACACCAAAGACTAATGGCATGTATCCCATACGTGTTCTGATCCGATAAGAGCTCCTTGGACCTTCACCCTTAGCTGTAAACGCAGTGACAGCAATGATGTAATCCGTTCCTGGCTCAAAATTAGTCAGGATAACCTGCCGCTGCTCTGGTCCCACAGTAACATTTTTGATTTGCTGGGTCCGGTATTCTTGGTAAAACACTCTGTATCCTCGCAGAAAGCCACCACTATCCTCCTGAGGCAATGCATACCAACTCACAAAAACACTCTGATAATCCAATGCAAAGACCCTGTTGTACGAAGGTCTACGAAAGGGTGCTGTAAAATAATACAATACTTGTTTCTTAGAAGGGCGGATGTAAAAATACCTTAGACAATGTATGCCAAATAATGATTCTTGCTTCCTTGTTGACCAACCTAATACAGGGGTTTTCTCGTTTTCCATAACATGAAGCAACTAGGAGTGCTGGTATTCTCTAAGGTGAGGGAGGAGGGGGGAAGGGGGGCAAGATACCGATTTGAGAACAAACGCGACTTTTAGCTCTGGGGATGATTTAAAATGATCAGCGTCGAGAAGCCAATTACTAGGAGGATAGCACTGCACGACGCAACGAGCACAATTTTTCTATTAAGATTAACCACATTCAATTTGGCGTTTGTAAAATGATAGTGAACAGACAACCACATAACTTGAAAAAAAAAAAAACAAGAAATAATGTTATTGTTTAGGTTAGGGCTCGGAGGAATCTTTCTCGTTGTTTCTTGTTTCTTGTTTCATATGTCCCCGAAAACAATCTTTTTTGTCTGCTTAAAATGTAGAGCTTTTTGCATGGAGTGAAAGCTACATAGAAAATTTTTTTGAAGGTATTTTATCTCCATTGTCCTCTCTATCAAGGTCTTAGAAAGTTGCAAAATTGTCTGTTAAACTGACACCTTGGCTTCCTAGGGAATCAACAAACGCCTCCCATTTAACTAGTTAAGTTTTTAATGTATCATCGTTACCATATAACTAGAAGCCATTCTGAACTTTATGAACACAATTGCAATAGCTCTTATTCCAGTTCTGCGTGCGTGGTTTAGTTGGACTGCGGTTTCCTTATATCAGCGTACGCGAAAGCGAGGCTATTAAGTCAAGCTTTCCGAAGATTATAAGACTTGCGAAGTCAACTATAAGCATGGGCGTCGAAAATGTTAAATTATTTCCAAAATCAGCGTTTTTATCAGCCGTGGAGAAAGTGGAAATATTAGGTGGTAATTTTTAAGTGATTTTACAAGGAAAGGCCGAAGGAATGGCCTTCGTATCGGAAAGGAACTGCCAAAGATGGCTGTGCTCGATTGACAGCTTCGAAACCCGTACTAGCTCAAAGGCGAGTTCATAATATTTTTTTAAATTTTGGCCTTTTTACCCTGGTGACAAATTATTTCAAAATCTTAATGTCTGTGTACCTTTTATTTTAAACAGGGTTATGAACTACATCAAGAACGAATGAGAAGACGATTTTCCGAGAAAAGTGGTAGCACTTAGCTTGGCATGTACACAAGTGAACGGAGCGAACAAAAGAACTACTACCACCGTAGCTGTTACAAGCACTGGTCTTGCTGATTGTCCAGAATGGTCATCACTGGTACATGGGGGAGACAACCTCCCTGTTTGTAGTAGGCAAAACGTTGTCTACTATTTCATCGGAAGAAAAGCTCAAGATGACGAAACAAATGAAGATAATAAGAACGTAAAAAATAAAGCATTTGCCTTATTTAGACATGGTCATGTGCAAAAAATCGAACCAGCTTCAGAAACCGATAGAACACACTTTCGTTGTGAATGTCTGCCTGATAGCTTCCGGTTTTAGTCGTATTCGCTGTTCTCCTCGTGACTTCACAAAGCATATAGGCTCAAAATGGTTGCTGCATAATAATTTTTTTGCTTAAAGTTCTCTCTTCGAATTTTTACCAGGCACTTCTGGAGATGATCTATGTTTGATAGCGGAAACTTCAGCTCGAACAACCAAAGACTATACCGTGTCTAACCATGATGTTTTACCTAAACTTTCACGACGTTTTAACTTTTTATATACTTCTAGTTGTCTTCAGAGGTGCTTGACCCGAGAGCCTCTCTTTCGCGTACGCTAATATAAAAAACCGCTGTTCAACTAAACCAAGCACTCGGATCTGGAATAAGAGCTATTGACAATCCCTTATTTTCTCCGACGCAGGTGTAACCCCTATAGCCATTTAGATAGCCTCTTTCAGTTTTTTAGCTGATAAGGAGCTCAGCGTTTTTACCAAAAAATACCAGCAAAAAGAAATTAGTTACCCTCCCTAAAGTAGCTTTACCCGAAGACAAACAGAAGTAGCTGACCTGAAAATGCGATGGGTCCTTTCCACACCATTTAGTGATATTTCACGAAATAGAACGAAGCATGGATCACGTTTTAGGTGTAATTGAATAGACTGAAAATTACTCACCCCCCTCTGCAGTTTGAATTTCAGCAATTTCGCTGGTTTTCAAGGATAATTTACCACTGATACGATCCTTGAGAAAAGCAACAACTTCTACTTGGTATTTCACGTAGGCTCTCAGTCCACTCACCACTGTGCTCAAGGAAGTAAAATTTGCTTCTTCCTGTACAAGTATGTCCCCCATACCATTTGAAAGCATGCGAACGAAAACTACATAGCCATATATATAAGTGGAGTTTAAGCTGGTGGTACTTAGTGGAGGCCAACTGACACCAATTGCTCTGGAGCTGACGTTACTTATTGTGACATTCCAACCACGTTGATAGACTACTTGAACATTAAATAATAAAAGATTTGATCAGCCAATGGCTCCAATTTCGCTTAATATTGGATATAACGATTAATATCGCCATTTTGAAGTTCAGTTTTATGCTCATATATTGAAATGTGTGGAAAAAAATCGTCATCGACTGTCCGAGGCTCGATAATGACGTCATTCTTAATTTTTTTCTAATTCAGTTACAGTACACTCTTAATTCCTCTGATTCCCCAAATTATTGACCAAACTCCTCCAAAATGTAATTTGTGATAATCCTGATTAGCATAAATTAACTTTTTGCCGGCACGTATCGGAGGACTGGGGGTGGCTGCTGGGTACGCGGAGAGTTATGGGATCGTGGTTTGTAAGTAGAGGTCGTTAGTAGAGCAAGGCATTCTATGGTCAGCCTTCACCGTGTGTAGCTTTTCGTTTTCGTTTTCGTCTTTTGTATAAATTTACAGCGGTACTTGCAAAGTACCTTAAGTAACTATGTGTAAATGTCATTCATAGGATACCCTAAAACCCCAAGGGTGGCACCGCTGCCTTGGTCGGGTCGATGTTTCTCTGTATGGCTGTGCTTCGTTTGGGCATCTAGGCGCGATATTTTGACAGTTGGTTATTTTGTTTTGTCAAAATACCTGTTTACCCCGTCGGGGGCGCGTGCCACGTTTCTTCATCTGCTTTTCCCATCTTATAAGAAGTTTGCATCAAATAAAGCATTTGATTATAAATAACTTACTGGACGTTTAGGTGTAAAATATCGCTGTGAAAATTTACTCGTTTTTCGTATCTTGGCTCTTCCTACGGGCTCTTCAAAATACGGCACATCTCGTTAAAATACTCAGCGATTTTTTAACCCTGACAATCAGATAACTTTTTGCCAAAACTGATTGAAATTGATCCATTTTTAATTCACTTACCATCGGAGCGCGAGTTGTTCATAATAAAATAGTGAGCTTTCAGTAGATAGTTATTACTTCTTTTGTAAATGCGGACTGTCACAAAGCTGTCCAACACCAAAACTGCCGAAGGCACAATTTGATATCTGTCCAGCCACTTTCCTTCCCTCGCACTTCTGATATAGACTTCTGTCCTAGACGTTAACACCAGTGAAAAATGATTACTAAATTTACGCTAAACCACAAAACCAGCAATCTAGCCTGTTAACAAGCTTCAATACAGGAAAGCGTGATCGCAAGAAAAGAAGCGCGCGACATTGACCTAGTCGATGTTTCTAACAAGACGAAAATGTTGACGTCAAATCACGTGAAATCTAGTACTAACATCTTGTCACATGCTTTACATCTACTTACTCGGTTGAGAGGTCTCCATAAACTTTTAATCGCACTAGCTAATCGATATCGAGCTAAATGGGCAATTAAGATCTCAGCCTCGTTTCCATCTTGAAATATAGAGCGCGTGACAAGAAAGCCCTGTATTTGAAATCTATACCACAATTCAACTCTAAGAACTACATCATATTTATCAGGTCGGTATCTGCTCCCTACCTATAAATTAAGAATTACAAGTCTTACCAGTCTTCACCAGGTCGGTATTCTTCAAAAAGAAGAAGGATGCTTGAATTCGCAACCGGAGATCCAATTGACCAAGTACAACGTCTATAATAATAGAACTGGGATCCACTGTTGATACTGAGTTCACCTGATGGCTTATCAAAGTTCTCTCCACACTCTGAAACAAAGAACTTATCGAGTTGGGCCTCTTCCTTATAGTGATGTTTTCTCGGATTTCCCTGAAATCCTGAGGTCAAGGAAACGTGACCTGAAAACTACCAACGATGCCTTTTGCGGTTGTCGCGTGTACTTTTGTTTTTCCGACAACATTTCTGCGTACAGCAGTAAATATACATAGATACTCTCCCACATGTATACCTTCTTGCATACAAAACTTTATTATAACATAGCACACTTGCAAAGCCTACCCATTTCCCCAAGGAGATACTAAGGTAAAGATCTTTGTGTACTGCGCGCCGCATATCCATAACATCACGTGTGCGGTTTCACTTCGGCTGAGAGTTCCTGTCGAGTTTAGCTGCGAGGCTTCAGAACTTTCAAGATTGTTTCTCCGTTCTATTCCAATGGTGTTCTATGGAGGAGTTTGCTTTGAAATCGTATATTTTTCAGAATTTCAACAAAAAGCTACGCTAATTTCTGGTCGTAAATTCTAGTCAATTCCAATTCAAGGAGGGTAAAATCTACTTCACGGGTCTCGTAAAAGCGAGAAGCTCGTAAGTTTTTCGCTTTTTTTTTCGAATGGCTGATATTACCTTTAAGTGTTGATATTTCTAAATATATTTTCTGGGAAATTTCTGGCCGTGATTTCTGGCGATCAACGATTCAAGCATGCTGAATCTACTATGTAGTCTCGTACATGCAAGGAATTCGTTGTTTTTTTCGCTTTTGAGGAGAAAATTGTTAATTCTTTGAATGAAGATTTTATTAGTCGTATTGCTATGTTCTTTATTCATAGTTTTCGGGTAGATCAAGATTACCGGGTTAATTTCATGGCTGGAAGTTAATCTGAAATTTTCAGGATAGCTGTTCTTTTTTAATCATTAGAACCGTCCAATTAAGGAGTAATTTGACGGTTTTTTGACAATTTGACTAAACTGATCCTTAAAGTGCAAAAGCTTGACTGAGCAATGCCTAATTACGACTAACAGGTTATATAATGATTAATTTGTAAGAGGACTACATGCATATAGGGGTTATAGTGGCTGATGATAGGTAAACTTGCGAGATTTAGTACACTTTAGCCTTCAGTTTCATAACCGCCGCCTAGTTAGCCCTATGGATAGTGTGCTGGACTGTTGTGCGGGAGGTCGAAGGTTCGAGCCCCGGACGGACCAATACTCAAGGTCTTAAAATAATTGAGAAGAATTTGCTACCTTTCTAACATCAAGAAATGGTTAGATATTCTAGTCTTCTCGGATAGGGAGGAATAAATGGAGGTCCCGTCTCCTGCTGGGTTTGGGGTAGGAGACGTTAATTTCCCACACACGAGATTACTATATGGTGGATGTCCTCCCCTGGGGTGGGATGAGTTGGTTTACTGGGCCCACAGTAATTGGAGCTAAGCTGTTGCGGTGTCCCCGCCTTGTTGGCGAATCTAATAAATTAAATAATTGAATAAAATCTCGCATTCTGATTGATTAATGACGCGTGGTATTTGGCGTGGAATTGCGAAATGAAAACAAGGCTAAATGATACTGCTTCGCATCACCTGTTTTGCGCTCAGGATGAAAACAAACATTATTGCGTTTCAATTTTTTTTTTCCAAGGAAAATCCATTACCTAAACCGTGAATTCCGCGTTAAACTACACTTGAAACCGATATCACACTCATCGCTACGCGAAATTAGTATCGTGCGATATCAGTATCGTGCGATACCAATATCGTAAGATATCAGTTTTCGCGTGTAATTTTTTACGCGAAATTCCCTCGTCAAGCAATGAATTTTCCTATATATTTTCCCAGCAATCCTGAAAATTAAAACTTGCGAAATTCGGCTGTAAACGTCTGTAAACGATCTGATGTTTACAGACGTTTACTGCTAAGAAAATCATTAAACAGCTGTCAAAGACAGCCTCCCGGGCTCATCTTCAAAATCCTACACACGCGTTCTGGCTATATCATATCATTTTCCTTTAAGTTTCAAAGTCTTCTTCCACTTCAGGTAGACTATCCTTCACTTGAGTTCTTTTTTTTTCGCCGTCGCAAGATTTCATATTGATTGAATATTTCTTTTAAATGTGAAGTGAAGCAGCCTTTACTTCTCCGAAAATCGTCTTCTTTATCAATTAATATGGGGCAATACCAAATTCCTCCACGACTATGGCCTTAATTAGCATGTTACATAATTGGTCTATTAACACTGATGGAAATGGCGCTNTAAGAACAATCTTATTTGATTATCGAAAGGCCTTTGATTTTATCGACCATGAAATTCTGATTAGAAAATTGCGTACTAAGTGTAAATTGCCAGTTAGTATTACCAATTGGATAGTTGATTTTCTTTCTGATAGATTACAAAGAATTAAGCTGGCTGCGGAGTGCTTTTCGGAGTGGGGATCTGTGCCCTCCGGTGTACCGCAGGGCACAAAATTGGGCCCATGGTTATCTGTGCTTATGATGAATGACCTCGAAATCGCGTATCCACTATGGAAATACGTTGATGATACAACAGCCTCGGAGATGGTACCAAAAGAGAGTGAAAGTCACGCCCAAAATATAGCAGATTGTGTTATTGAGTGGTCACGAGAAAATAGAGTTCATTATGTTTTTGAATTTTAAATTTAAATTTTAAATTTCTTGGATTGTAAAAATGTGTAATTCAGCCCTTGGGCTGCGAATGCCTTTGAGATTAAACTATCTATCGATCTATCTTATCTTAGTTTCTATCTCCTGCATTCACAGTGGCCACTCAACACATCAAATACAAGCTCTTAGGTAAACTTCTCACATAAGTAGAAAAAAATCCTCTCACCGCCATCTTTGTTTTAAATTTTTGTCTTTTAATCTCGCGCTCCTTTGGCACGTTTCTCTCGCGCGTGACACAAGAGTTATCTGTTCCCCGCGCGAGGAAACTAGTATGAGCCACCTTAAGAGAAATAGCTTTACTGAGCAATGCCCAATTACAACCAACTGGCTATATAATTAATTAGTAAGAGGAATTCATGCATATAGTGGTTATAGTGACTGATGGCAGGCAAATTTGCGAGATTTAGTACACTTTAGCCTGGAGTCGCATAATTGTGTAAAATCTCGCATTCTGATTGGTTAACGAAGCGAGGTATTCAACGTGGAATTGCGAGTTGAAAACGAGGCTTACTGGTACTGTTTGGCATCTCATGTTCGCGCTCAGGATAACAAAAACTATAATGTTGAGGTTTTATTTTTTTCGTATTTATATTCTGTCATGCGATTCAAGGATAGTCCATTATCTGACCCTGAATTCCGTGTTGAATTGTACTGGAAACCGATATCACACTCGTTGCTACGCGATGTCAGTATCGTGCGATATCGGTTTCTGCGTGCAATTTTACGCGAAATTCCCACGTCATGCCATAAATTTTCCTATTTAATTTCCCAGCAATCCTGAAATTAAAACTCGCGTAAAATTCGGCTTCCATATTTTCCAGAAATTGATTACAGGCGAAATTTAGTGAGAAAAAGGTACGACCCCCTTGGTTTTTCATATATTGAAATTTAAATATGGAACATTAAATTTAGAAATCAGATACCTGTTTGAGCATATGTAAAACGTTCCGCACCTTCCCCAACGGATGTACGACCGGTAACTCTGATCTCATATCCTGTAGCATTTTTCAGACCGGTTATAGTTATAGCATCCACGTTAATATTCACACTAATATTCGTGAAGCTGTCGTTTGAATTATAAGGTCTGTAGTACACTGTGTAGCCAAGAAGAATTCCATTTGCCTCTTCGCTAGATATTGAAACCCACCTAATCCAGAGACTGTTGAAACCTTGGCTCCTAGCATACAGCCGTGGAACAGCACTGGGAACTAAGGAAATAGAAAGTAAATGTAATGTGGTTAACAGCAACTTAATGCAACGCACCATGTGTGCCTCACTCCAACCCACCCATTTCCAAAGATTCTGTAGCATGCCCTTTTTTACGTATTTTAGGGAGATGGGGGGAAAGAAAAAAAACACGATTCAATCCTTCTTTCAGATAATTTTATGCCATCGAAATTAGTCTATTGATAGGCAAGATATTATTGTTAACTGCATACAATCGTTTACGGTTATGTAAATACTGCAGCTTCAACCGCATTATTGCTGATCAGGGTTGTAAAACTAAGGGCAGTTACTGACTCACCGCTCTCGAGAGTCTGAACCTCAACAACTGTGCCGCTTTTTGGTGAAATTTTACCAGTCATGTGGTTTCTGAGAAGGGCCAGAACTTTCACTCGGTATTTTGTGTAGGGTCTAAGTCCTCTCACCACCGTACTCAAGAAGGAGGAACTTGTGTTTGAGGAGGAAGCATTTTCCACATTCATCAGAAGTATGTCACTGGTATGAAGTATGTCACTCCATAGCATGTGCAAGGTAGCAACATAACCAAATATGGAGTAGGAATTTGAGCCGTCAGTATTCGACCTAGACCAACTGAGTTCGATCTCTGTGGAGCTAACTTTTACGACTGTTACATTCCATTCAGGTTGGTGAAGAGCTTCAAAGTTAAGAAATACAAAGCAAACTTAATTGACGCTAATGGGTAGAAAGTAGTTCGTGGTGACCCTATTCTCAACAGTACTTACGACAGTGAAAAGCGAAATAAAATAATTTCATCTATTAGTATGTGCATAGAAATGAGCCTCCGGCACAGTTTTTCCTAATGCAGACCTGCCAGCTGATGAATAACAGAATTTCTCGACTAGAATTCCCCAAACTGCTCGCCGAGAAGGAAAGTTGGCTTGTTTTTGCTTCAAGAAAGTTGTAGCGGCAAACGAACTGGATTCTTATTCAAATATTTACTGAAAATTTTCTTTACATGAGAACAAAAATCACCTTTGCTGTTCGCGATTTCAGCTTACATTCGATGGTTTTTGTGGCCAAGTTTGAGCGATTTAAACACTTTCTGTAATTTTTAACGAGGACTCCACGAAAGCTTTAATTAGAGCTTAGGCGATTGAAACAAATTTGTTTGAAGGAAAATGTGTAAAGCGAGTAAACGAAACAGCTGGACGGTGTTTGAATCAGTGCACACGGCTCGGCTTATCGTTATATTTATGTATTTTTTGCTAAGTTCTCGTAGTCGAAAAACATTTCACCAGTTTAAGTTCTATAACTGACCTTCCTAGGCTTAATAATAATGACTGTTATTAATGTTATCATTATTATTATTATTATTAATATTATTATTATTATCTTCATCATCGTGTTCATTATATCATTTTATTATACGGCATAGGCTTGTGGCCGATATAACGCGCGCTCCGATTGGTTAAGAGCGAGATCAGAGCAGAGCATTCTACAGCGGTAATGCCCACGGGCCCATTATGGATTATGCAAATCAGAAAGTTATTAGAAGAACAGCTAGGTTACAGTTTTGAATTACCGATGAGATTGCGCTGGAAGGGACGAAGTAAACAAACAAGAATACATTCACGCTCACATCTAACACAAGAAACCGTAAAAGAATTGCGCTTTAGAAAATTGTCATTGACATGATTACATTTCAGTGAAATTTCCCCTAAATAAGTTTTGTGAAGAGGCCACTTTTGACTCATCAGCCGGTAACTTTGGAGGGCACAACTGAAGAACGACCATAGTTTGCCGTGTCGTATATAAAGCTTAAATCGCTAGGTGGAAAACACCATTCATGGGTCTGTCATGCATCCCTAGCAGAATACCGAAAAAAAATCTAGTAGTCCCAACCATTACCGAAAGTTTAAATTTTTTCATAGTTAGCTTAGTAGTTCTCATCAATGGATTCACCCGCCATTAATCAACCAAGTTTAATCAATTTCCAGGAATATCAGAGGTAGAGACACTCGAGCGGTCTTTAACGGAAACCGCAGCAGCATTTATGACTACTTCATGCAGTTTCAGATTTTCAAAAGACTTGTAAAGTTCAGTTCATCCATAAATCTCCCAGAACGCGGAGATATGTTGTCGAAAGCGAAGGAGAAGATTGAAATATTGTGCACAGTGCATTCCGAAGCATTTTTTCCCAAAAGGCCGGGCGTGTTTGAACTATTTTGAAGCACTTTTCTGTCTTTCTGCATCCACTCCAGTTGATGTCTTGCCTTGAAAATCGGACAAAATTTCTACCGTCAAATTTTGACACGAATTGCTATTTTCAGGCTTTGAGAATCGTTTCTTACCGAGAAAAAATGTGTTACGCTTGACGGATTACGTGATACAGTGGTGTAGTTCCCTGATTGCGTAGTTTTATTGTGGGTTTTATTCGATGAATAAAAAGGAAAAGGCGCGCATCGCCGGATTTAAATTGACGACTTCCGTTAGAATAAAGTTTTCGTTTCTTCAGGTTATAAGCCATATAATAAACACTTAAATAACCTCGACCGTTCGGCCATGAGAGGAAAATCTCAAACTTCAGCCTAGCCGTATTGACCTCGCTATCACTCGGTCATTACGGCAAGGCCTCAGTTTGAAATGTCATATTTCATAAACGAGGGCGAGTGTTTCATCAGGGTTTTCAAACACGAGAAAACTGCTTTTAATGTTATCGAGTGTTTCGGCTTTTTTAGTAGAAGCAGTCACACTTTGCACTGGTGTCCTCAGTTGCAATTTTGGGAAATGGAAGAAGCAGCTATGGAAAGGACTTCCCGGTTTACCACCAAAAAGTTGCAAAGAGGAAATTTCTTTGCTTGAACGTTCAAAGCCTAAAAGTACTCAGTACATAGTAATTTGGTTTTAACAACTAAGTTGATAATGTAAATTGGCCACCGTAAAGAGTTTCAAAGCTGACGTTTCGAGCAATAGCCCTTCGTAAGAGCGAATGGAGGAATTGTGGGTTGGGTGTGTGTTTCTATGCAGAAAGTGGAGCTACGCTATTGGTGGGAACATGGTGACGAGATGATTACATTAGTAGAATGAAAAAAGGTTCGTTGATATGTATGGGATTAAGGTTGCTGATTTGAAAGATATTAATCTTTTGTTCAGAGTTTTAGGGCTTTCCGCGCTATCTAAATGGAAGGAAAGACCGCAGTCTGCTCAGAATGATAAGGTAGTTTAAAGTGTCTGGCGACTGATTTTGATGCGTCCTTTTCATTCCTTTCTACGTCGCGAAGGTGTTCTCGGAATCGGTCACCTAGTCGTCTTCCTCTATCACCAGTGCATACCTTTCTGCAATAAGTGCAAGTTATGCAGTAGATAACATTGGCAGAGGTGCACGTGAAGTGATCATTAATCTTAATGGAGCGTTTGGGTCCCGATATTTTCTCAACGTTGTGAATGAAAGGGCAAGTTTTGCATCGTGCGCGAACGCATTAAAAATTTCGGGTTGGTCATTAGTTTGAAGTGAACTTCTGACCAAAAAGTTGCCTATTTTTTTTTTTGTCGCGTTTGAATGAAGTAAGTGGAGGTTGCGAAAAGATAGTGCCAGTCTCTGGATCGTTTTGAAGTAATTCAAAGTTTTTAAGAATAATGAATTTAACTGCGTGGTTGTGAGGGTGAAATGTGAGAGTGAATGGAATTTTTCTCCTGTGACGTTTGTAGTGCTGACTGTCGATCAATAAGTTGGGCCCGGTGGTGACCCGCTTAAACGAGAGAAACAGGATATTTGAACCCACGACCCTCCGTGATCTAGTCGGATGCTCTAACAACTGAGCTACAGGAGACTCTATGGTGAGCAAGGGTCAATTAGTGGGTATTGACTGGAACCGCATCACGCGGCTACACAGCCAAACATCAGCTAGCGCATAGAAGCTCACTAACAGCATCACGCCGTCACATTAAAGCATCACATGCATTAAAGCATCACATGCAGCCAACCAGCCTCCAAAGTGAGCATGTAAAGATGAAATAAACAATTTTTAAAAATCGAGTTTCCAGATGGGATTTCCGTGATGCGGTTCCAGTTAATACCCACTAATTGACCCTTGCTTACCATAGAGTCTCCTGTAGCTCAGTAGTTAGAGCATCCGACTAGATCACGGAGGGTCGTGGGTTCGAATCCCATCTGGAAACTCGATTTTTAAAAATTGTTATTTCATCTGTACAGAAACAGGATAACCACGTTTTTCGAAAAACTGGCACATTGACTTGTCGAAAAAATCAGAGTTATTATTAGATAAACGACGAAGTCTTAGTACTAAGGAAAGGGAATGGAATATTTGACATGAGATGGATGCGGAGATGAATACAACAAGTAACTATGTGAGTCTGTAGGTTTGTAATACACACTAGTGACTAGTGCATAAGCCATTGCCTTCAATTGAAACTCTGATGTCTAAAAGGAGTAAAGAATTGTCGGAAATTCCTCAGGTATATTTTATAGCCGGGTGAAAGGAATTGACTGCGGTTATAAATTGACTTAGTGCCTCTCTGGTGGAGGAGGTAGCGCTGATACAGTCGTCAATGTAGCGACCGTAGACCGTTGTATTGACCGAAAAATTGGTGTTCGACAAAACATACAAAAAGAGTGGCGTAGCTGGGTTCCGTTTTGGTACCCATGGCTACGCCATTAATTTGTTTGTAATTTGAATTAGTCGGAAGAAAATCGTATGTCTATCTTGAAACAAAATTTCAACATAGACAGGGGTTATTGCGTGATAACTGTCCGAAGATTTTTCACCACATGATGGAGTAGCCAATAGAATTGCGAGGGAATTAATGGGTGGCTTATAAACAGCTATATTTCTTGATAACACTGCTAGATATCTGTAAATATCGTTGACATACTGGCTCATGGTGAGCTTCTCGGCCTTCAAGTTTTCTTATTGACGGTTCGTGTTTCATAATCCCGCAATTTTGTAATAGATGATTTTGATTTTTTATAGCAACAATTATACAACAATCCACAACTCTTACTCTTTTCACTTACCTTCTGGTGTATTGTTCAGCGCAAAATAATGGACCTTTAATCTAAAATAAGAACTGTGCGAGAAAAGACTGACTGTGACATTCCCGCCCAACACCAAAATTGCAAATGGGTCCCCTCCTTGGCAAAGATCCTTGCTTTGTCTCCAGGTCCGTATCGAAGTCCACGAGTTCCTATGTAAAAATGGGAAAATCGTTCAACAGATATATGAATAAAGGCTAAAAGTTTCTAAAGAAACTGTGGTGCTGCGTCGATGGGGATAACAAGGTAATTTGGTTATATCAACTAAGTTGTAGTTGTATACTGGCCACCGTGACAAATAAAAAAGCTGACGTTTCGAGCGTTAGCCCTTCGTCAGAGCGTTAGCCCTTCGCTCTGACGAAGGGCTAACGCTCGAAACGTCAGCTTTTTTATTAGTTACGGTAGCCAATTTACAATTTCAACTTAGTTGATATAACCAAATCATCTCGAGAACTGTCTTATTGGAGACATGTTAATTCGAAATCGTTCTAAATTGCTTCGAGAATTCGTGGCTCGAAAAGGAAAAAGCTTTTTTTACCGATCTATTAAATTTCTAATAAGCTTTTAATCCAAAATTATTCGTTTTTATTAGTGCACGAGACAAAGCTGTCGTCGCGAAGACTGCATTAAAACTATTTGGTACTTTTTTTCAGTAAAAATTGCCTCAGGGATTCAGTTTAAATGTGTGATAGCTTTTTGGACGTTTTTCAATTTTCTGTCCTGTGTTGCATTTCATCACTGATTGCCTTAAAGATCGTAGATCCTTAAGAAGAAAACCATCAGAGGAAGTCATAATCCATTCGATTTTGACGATAAATCGTTGCATCACCTGACTCTTTGCCGTGGTGTTTTTTCGTTTAAACTGTCAAACATCATCTCGTGCAAAAAATCCTTAGTTTAATTCATAGATAAGCACATTCAGAAACGTTATTAGTTTTTCGTCTTATTTTGTTTTCGTCGTAGAAAAGTAGGAGTTTCACTTTCATGCTTTTTTTTTGCACGTTTAAATAATTTTTGGCGGATTATTTTTAAAATTTTGCATTATTTAAAAATGCTACAATGAAATACTTGTAACTGTAGAGAGTGTTTGAACTAAATGAAAGAGTTTTGTCATGAAACAAGAGTGGTTTTATTTCTAAACTATTCTTGTTCAATTTCGATCCCTGTAAAAAAGATCGTGAAAGATCGGGACTTTCTTTGCCGAAAAACAATTTATTCAGTTCCAGTCCTTACTCGGAAACCTGATTTTGGAGTACCACTAAAAACACTACCCTCGTGGCTATTGGGAATCAAAGTTGTCATCTAATTTGAAAAAGGTACTCAAGAAACAATGCATAAGAGAGAGTGACAGCGATCTTTATTTACAAGCTTTTTGTAAGCAACAAAATTCTTGTATCAAGTACACGAAGGAATTCAGTTATTTTGCCAACTGGGGTGGCGGCAACTCAACATAGTCAGTTCCTTCTTTCCTCGTGAGAAGTTTGTTCTAAAATCAAGGTTGGCGAATGCACAAGATTTTTCTCTGCAACAAACTTGTTCAAGCAGAGAAATGACACCTGAATTTTTGCGAGTAAGCCAAGAATGACACTCGTAATCAGCAGAAAATCGATTTCAAAAAGAAAATTCGATAAAATCCCCAGGTCCTAACGATGCTTTGGTGTAAACGTAAAAGGTTTTCTTTTACTACTCTCTACAACACTTTTGTCTTAAGCCGCAAGCTTACCCTAATTATCAGCGCTGCGGCATGAGCGTTTTTCCGCCCACGGGATATTCTGAGATCTGCACGGTGTCTAGTGCCTGACTCCTGATAAACCTCTACCCGATTCGTCTCTTATCAGTCCCGCGGGTGGAGAAACCCATCCTCGGAGACCCAGGGGCTGTGAGTCGATTTCAAGTTAAGGGCAGAAGAGCCCCTGGGGACATTGTCTTAAGAGACTACTTCCAAACGGTCGCAGTCGTTCTGGCATCTGATTGGTGCCAGAAAATCTTTGTTTTTTTCTGCCCAATCAGAGTGAAGAGTACTTTAGAGTCCTTTCGTGTGTTTTAACACGCATATATACAAGAAGCTCAGTCGCTCGCTTTGGTTGTTTGGGCCGTGCGACGGAGCCTTGCTCGAGGTGAAAAGTGTCAGTCTCAGCACACAATGTAAGAAAAAATCGATCAGATTGTCCGAAAAAAACTCACCGGAAATTATATTGAATACTTTCGCAGGTATCACGTGAGAACGTGTATAAAAGTTTGCGAGGTTCGTATAAAACACGATGGTTGTAGGCGTTGATAGGTCGCTTTAAACATTAAA